GGCCGTGCTGGGCTTCTTGGGCCCATTTAGGGTTTCTTGGGGCCATTTAGGGCTTCTTGGGCCCATTCTGGGCTTCCTGGGGCCATTCTGGGCTTCCTGGGGCCATTCTGGGCTTCTTGGGCCCATTTAGGGTTTCTTGGGGCCATTCTGGGCTTCTTGGGCCCATTTGGGGTTTCTTGGGGCCATTCTGGGTTTCTTGGGGCCATTCTGGGTTTCTTGGGGCCATTCTGGGTTTCTTGGGGCCATTCTGGGCTTCTTGGGCCCATTTAGGGTTTCTTGGGGCCATTTAGGGCTTCCTGGGGCCATTCTGGGCTTCTTGGGCCCATTTAGGGTTTCTTGGGCCCATTTAGGGTTTCTTGGGCCCATTTGGGGTTTCTTGGGCCCATTTGGGGTTTCTTGGGCCCATTTGGGGTTTCTTGGGGCCATTTAGGGTTTCTTGGGCCCATTTAGGGTTTCTTGGGCCCATTTAGGGTTTCTTGGGGCCATTCTGGGTTTCTTGGGCCCATTTGGGGTTTCTTGGGGCCATTCTGGGTTTCTTGGGCCCATTCTGGGTTTCTTGGGGCCGCCTGGCAGCGTTGAAGAGGTGCCTGGATGAGGAGCTTTGCGCTGCGGTTCGGTGCTGACGGCGGCGATGGGGAGGCGGTTGGACCGGATGATTTGTAGCTCGTTTCCAACCTTGGGATCCTGCGGTTGTGTGAGATCTCACATTTTGGGCCGTCGTTCAGCCCGAATCCCTGCGGGTTTGTGATGCTGAGGGTCCACGCGTGGCCTCGCCGTCCATCCCTACATTTTAGGGTTCAGAACCCAAATGAATTCCCTGGCAGTTTGGCCCCTTCCCACCCCGTTGTCACAGCAGCTTTTTGGCCAAAAAACCCTAAAAAAAAAACCCCAAAATGATAATAATGATCCCATTGGATTTGGGGAGGAAGGGAGGGGAGCAGCGCGCAGCTCTGCCCCAACGTCGGGGTGTTTTTGGGGCCGTCTGTGGGATCCCCACTATGTGAAACTGAGCCGCTTCCGCCCGCCGCTTCCTCTGCCCTGTGCCTCCCCTTCCTAATTAAGCAGCGGCGTTAATGAGGGAGGTGGGCGCGGGGTTGGAGCCGTGCGGTGATGCAGGCGGGGGGTGGCTGCCCCATGGCACGGCTGTGTGCAGTGGGGTGGGGTGTGGGGCTGGGGGTTGGGGTTTGGGGACGACACCGATGTGGGGCTGGAGGTGGGGGTTTGAGGACGTCCCCAATATGGGCTGGAGGTGGGGGTTTGGGGACGTCCCTGATGTGGGGCTGGATGTGGGGGTTTGTGGCTGCATGTGGGGATGTGGGGCTGGAGGTGGGGGTTTGGGGACGTCCCCAATGTGGGGCTGGATGTGGGGGTTTGGGGACATCCCCGATGTGGGGCTGGATGTGGGGGTTTGGGGACATCCCCGATGTGGGGCTGGATGTGGGGTTTGGGGACGTCCCCGATGTGGGGCTGGATGTGGGGGTTTGTGGCTGGATGTGGGGATGTGGGGCTGGAGGTGGGGGTTTGGGGACATCCTGGATGTGGGGCTGGATGTGGGGTTTGGGGACGTCCCCGATGTGGGTCTGGCTGTGGGTTTTGGGTCTGGCTGTGGGGTTTGGGTCCGGCTGTGGGGTTTTGGGTCTGGCTGTGGGGTTTGGGTCTGGCTGTGGGGTTTTGGGTCTGGCTGTGGGGTTTGGGTCCGGCTGTGGGGTTTGGGTCTGGCTGTGGGGTTTTGGGTCTGGCTGTGG